CACCTGTTGGTAAAATGAGTCCCCCTCGTCCCTGGTGTGCTTGAGGGATCAGGATGCATGTGGAATGTCAGTCAGGCCCATCTATGACCCTACAGCCCAGGGAGAAATATCTACCTGGGATCTAAAATCTGAAAAGTTAGCCAGTGGGGGCGTGTTGTGACTGGGGTGAATTCTCTCAGGTAACCAGCCAATCTGCTCTGAGGCATTTAATGCCTGCGCTCTGCTGAATGCCATGGAGGGAATTAAAAAGAAGGCCTAGAACATTCCTCCCTCAAGGAGCTTCATTGTATTGAAATTAACAGCTCACTCTTTTTTATAGCAGAGCAGTATTCCATTGTGTAGATATACCACATTCTCCGTATCCACTCATCTAATGATGGACATTTGGGCTGGTTCCAAGTCTCGGCTATTGTAAATAGTGCTGCAATAAACATTGGAGTACAGGTATCCCTTTGACATGATAATCTCCATTCCTCTGGGTATATTCCCAGCAGTGGGATAGCTGGGTCATATGGCAGATCTATCTGTAATTGTTTGAGGAGCCTCCAAACCATTTTCCATAAAGGCTGCACCATTTTGCAGTCCCACCAACAGTGTTGAAAGGTTCCTTTTTCTCTACAACCTCTCCAGCATTTATCATTCTCAGTCTTTTGGATATTAGCCATCCTAACTGGAGTGAGGTGGTACATGGATGGGCTTAGAAAAAATTATATTAAGTCAGGCACAGAAAGAGAAATACCATATGTTCTCATTTATTTGTGGGAGCTAAAAATAAATAAATACACAAACAAACAGGGTGGGGCAAGAAAGAAGACACAACAATCACAATTCCTTGAACTTGTTAAGACAAGTGAACAGATATGATATTGATAGGGGCGTAATAACTTCGTATAGCATACATTATACGAAGTTATAAGGGGGAGGGGGGACATGGCGGGGGAGGGAGGATTCGGTAAAGGGCTATGAAAATCAACTACATTGTATACTGATAAAATAAAATTAAAAAAAAAAAAGAAATTAACAGCTCAGACTGTCTGGGTTCCTGTCCTGACTCTGACATCCACCAAGAGAGGCTGCCACTTAGTGAGAGCCGAGAATGTGCCCAACATTGGACAGACAATATTTCATGTAACCCTCACAACAACCCTGAAAGATGTGAATCATTGTTAGCCTTTTACAAATAAGAAAACTGAGGTGCAAGAAGGTTGATTTCTGCCTAAGGACCCTAGTCAGCAAGAACCGCAGGAGTTAGATCCCTGACCAGAGGCCAGCTCTGTCTGATCCAATGAGCACTAGTCTCTCATTTATGGTGCGGTCACCGTGTGGCCTTGAGCACATCGCTCACCTCTCTGGACCTAAGGGCCCTCACCTGTAAATTAAAAGAACAGGCTTAATGATTCTACAGCCCATCCTGCTCTGAAACTCTATGATACAATTGGAGGGAAAAAGCAACCGCAGACAAGCAGGGGCTTCACTGGGGGGACACAAGTCTGAGTGCTGAAGGAGAAATGGCTTGTTGGCTTGCCGGGGGCTGGAGGAGACAGAAAGGCGAGGGGGTGATGGAGGCAGAGGAGGGAAGTCAGGCATGGAGCCAGTCTGAGGAGGGGCCCCCCCAGACAGGCTGAGGCTGCCCCATGTCGGGCTATCCCTGGGCCATGATCTTAAAGGAAAAAGGCTGAGGCACAGGGCCTGCATCTCAGCTCACTCCTAGAGAGGGGCAGAGCGTGCCCAGCCCAAACACAGGCTATTTTTGGTGTTGTGTTGTTTGGAGAGCAACCAGGCCAGAAATAGTGTTGTGACTGAGTAGGGCCCTGTCTTTCTGCCACCCCCAGCTCTCCCAGTGAAATCACCAGGAATCAGGAGGCTGGGTCCAACATTCCAGGGAGCCTGTGTAACTGACAACGAGGGGAGGCAGCCCGCTCTTCCCCACCGGAAGGGCTGGAAGGGCTCGGCAGTGGGAGCAGAGCATTTGACTGTAAAAGGGATTCTGGAAGATGGGAGGAGAGGGAAAGAGGGATTGAGTCAGAGAGTGGAAAAGAGAGAGTGTGAGGTGGGGAGAGATCTCACGTGGCAGAGCAGAGGAGACAGGAGGAGAGGAATGGGAGAGAAACCGGGAGACAGGAGGATCGGGCAGAAGAAACCAGGAAGAGGGAGGCTCAGAGGGAGAAAAGAACCGTGAAAAAGAGAGCCAGTGGGTGGCTGGTGTTGGGGCAGCGAGGGAGGAGGAAAGAGGAAGGGCAGAGCACGGGCAGGAGGGCAGTGATGAAGGGGTGGCGGGAAGACCCTGCGCTGAGGCCCAAATTGAGCCAGGCCTCATGACTAGGGCATGAGGGTGGGGGTGGGGGTGCGAGGCAGACCAGGAAAGTATGAGTCTGGTCTAGTCACGAACCACCTGCTGAGGGGGCAGATGGAGATGTCTTTCCCAGTTGGCTAGGACTGGAACTTCCCCCAGAAATCCACAGCCCTGTAACTCACTCTCTTATCTCTGACCCTCAGGAAATCAGAGATCCAGCTATTTCAACAGCAGGGACTTTTCTCTGTCCGTTTGACCCCTTACCAAAGAGCCAGCTTGAGAGAGAGCCCTGGGTTCCAGGCTGTTTGGGGTTCTGTGGGAAAAGGGAAAGTGACGATCCCTTGAGTCAGGCTGGGTTCTGAGAAGGGTGTCATGGGGAGGTCTGCTGGGGAGCAGGCAGCTGAGCCTCATCTCCTGGGGAGACAAGGTGGAGGGCTCAAGGCCATGTGCATGGAGAGGAGAGGCAGGGGCCACGGTCAATTCTGGGCTGTAGATCATCCAGGCAGCCCTAGCTCGTCAGAGTCAAAGGAAAAGCCAGAAGCTTCCATGTCTAGAAACTAGACCTCACCTCAGTTTCTGATACATGCCCACCATATGCCTACAAGTTCCCTCCAGATTGGGAAAATACCCCTTAGTAAGTCAACCGTTCCTGTTTCCAAGGTAAAATGCACCCCCGCCACCTAGTCAGGACACACAGCTGCTCCCAGGCTCTCCTGTGCCTGAAAACGGAGTGTCTTTTCTGGAATGGCATCAAGATCACCCACCAGGTCCACAAGCAGGGACAGAATTGGTCATGCCCTAGCAAGGCCCAGGCCATCCACAGAAAACAGCAGAGGCTTTTATAGCTAAGGCCTGGCAAGGTGTGGGACCATGACTCCTGGAGGGACAGTCAGAGAAAGGGATGGAGGCTGGAGGGGCTGGGCATTGAGGCACCTGGAGGAGGCCACTTCTAGCTGCCTCTAGACTCCCTGCTCTTCCAAATCCATCGGGCTTGGCAATCGGATTCCCAGATCCCTTTGCCCCTCGGGTCCCGACGGATGGAGGTCAAGACACTGGGGGCATTTCTGAGCGGAGGAGATGGCTTTGGGCCTGGCCTCTGTCTTCTCCATCCCAGAGGTCAGGGGCAGATGCTTTTTCCTCACCACTAACCACCCTCTCGGGGACTCCAAACCACAACTGAAAAAAAGGAAAAAGACATAAACAAGAAGCATTTATACAGGAACAGTTCTCTAATGAGTCTGTGATCCCAACTTTCCAGCTGAGGTTTCTATTTCTTCCCCTGCCATCCCCCTCCACCTGACTCCCAGGAGCAACGGAGAAAACAAAAGCAGAGTAAATATGGGAAAGCTGTTCAGCTGTGGTTGCCCTTGGTATCTGTTTACTGAAAAAACCCAAAACAAATATCCCAGCACTACCACCCACCTAAACTTCCTGTGACTCTGCTATCAGCTGTCTCTATGGATACTCCCAGTTGAATCCCACCACCTACACAAAGTAGGACAGCATGTGGACCCCAAGTGCACCATACCTCCCTGCAAGACCCCTTTGGCACTACCCCAGCCACAACATCCAGGCCACGTGGCCAAGGGCGCCTGACCCTGGCAACTCCCCAAATGCACTAGTCTGGTCCTACATGCTCAACTGTTAGCCAATTTCCACCCCCTGTAGAATTTATCAGTCATTCTTCCTCCCCTAACCCCAATGCCCTAAAATCCCACCCACAAACCCACCATGAATTGACACTCCACTTCTATCCCTCCTCCTGCTGCTCCAGCCCTCCAGTGTCCATGCCTGGAGGAAAAGGATAAGGCAGACGCTCTCCCCAGTCTCAGCAGGCAACTAACTCAAAGAAACCAAACTCACGCCTCGGACTCCTAATTCCTTGCCAAGCTTCTACCCTGGTAACCTCTGGTTCCTTTCAGCCACCACCACCCCAACCAGCACACCTCAAACCCCAGCCAGACAGGGCTGTTGACACAGAAAGAGGCACCGAGAGAGTCTGGACACGTGAGGGGAGTCAGCCACACATCATCAGAGGCTGGCAGCCGGGCGGGCACATGGCGGGGATGAGGGAAAGACTGGGAGTCCTCCAGTCCTAGACAGACAAAACCCAGACAATCACACAGCACACTACATGCCCTCTGGCTGCTGGGCTGAGGCCAAGAGAAGGGAGGGTGTTCTTTCCAGGAGGTCGGCCAGGGCATGGGGCAAACAGCACTGACAGAGAAAAGTTTGTAGGATTGTTAGCTTCTTTGATAACTCCACAGTTACCCGTTTCTCCAAAGGAAAAGGGGAAAATGTGAGCTGATTTTCCCCACGCTGAGCACTAGGGGAGGTAATCTGAATACTGGACATTTTGGGCCATCTGGCACTGCCAGGGGTCAAGGTGGCAGAACATCCAAAGAGAGTGGGACACAGGCAGAGGGCGGCAAATGGAGGACCTTGGGTCAAGGCAATCAGGGCTTGCTCAATTGTTCCTGAGCCCTCTTACACACGTACACACTCAGAGCAGCACGCGCACACACACACGTGCCTCAGCAGGTCCTGGAGAGGGAGGTGCCGAGGGGGCCCGGCTGTTCAGACAGACTTCCAGAACCAGAAGGTGGGTGGGGCTGGAACATGAGTTAGTCTATTTCCTGCCCACATCTGGTATAAAAGGAGGCAGCAGCCCAAGGAGGAGCACAGCTGAGTCTGGCTGCGGGGCCAAGAGCACTCTCAAGAGAGAGCCACACACCCACCTCCAGCAGCCGAATCGCCACAACCCAGCAGGCCAGCAATTGCAGCAGCAGCAGCAGGACGAACCGCCAATCACAAAGCACCTTGGAGAACTGCAGGTAGGAGGAAAGCAAACTCCCACCATCTCTTACATCCAGCTTAAGGCGGAGAACTCCCTTCTAGAATCTCCTTCATCCACCACCCCCACTTTTCCTCTGTTTTCTTTCCCTGGAGACCTGCAGCCTCGAGCCGACCCTGCCCTGGCCATAACCACAGGGGAGCTGGGTGGGTGGTCAGGCCCCATTGCCCAGAAACAAGGACCTCCACTCTGTCTTTCTCAATGAAGACATCCCCCCTCTTTTCCTACCTCAGGAAAGGGATTTTTCACACCTGCTAACTTGAATGTAACAATAGTTGTAAAAGCCTCATTAGAGAGGGGCTGGCCAGTTAGCTTAGTTGGCTAGAGCATGGTGCTGATGATACCAAGGTTCAGGGTTCGATTCCTGTGCCAGCTAGCTGCCAAAAAAAAAAAAAAAAAAAAAAGCCTTATAAGAGAATTAAAAAGCATCATTGCAAATCAAAGATGCCATTATAATTCAGCCTCTCAGCCTCCTGGAGAGGAAGGGGTGACACTGGAGCAGTTTCCAAGATTCCCACAGAGGAAAATGGGCTTAAAACTCCCCGAAGCTGATTAGTAATAGGAATTGGTCTGAATTGGTCTGAGAAGGAGTTGGAAGACTCAGAATCCAAATGTATCATGGTCTCTCAATGAATCTTGCCCTTGTGTTCACCTAACAAGGAGAGCTTGGTCCCTGGCTGGGGTGCTACCTCCCCTCCCACTCGCCAGTCTTCTGGAACTCTTCCACCATCACATCTTTTTCTGTTTGCTCTAGGATGCAGATGTCTCCAGCTTTTGCCTGCTTAGCCCTGGGCCTGGCCCTGGTCTTTGGTGAAAGGTCCACCTTGCACCCTCAAGAGTCCCAGATGGCCCAACTGGCCACAGACTTTGGAGTGAAGGTGTTTCAGCAGGTGGCACAGGCCTCCAAGGACCGCAATGTGGTTTTCTCTCCCTATGGGGTGGCCTCGGTGCTGGCCATGCTGCAGCTGACAACAGGAGGAGGAACCCGGCAGCAGATCCAAGCGGCCATGGGATTTAAGATTGATGGTGAGACATGGGGCAGAAGGGGAGGTAGGCAGTCATGCCGTCTTCACAGAAGAGGGGTCGAACCAGCCAGAAGCTGAGGAAAGGCTGGCTCCAGCTTAGCCAAGCCAACTCATGTGCAGCTGTGCTACTGAGACCACTCCATCTTCTTCTCACATCACCCTGCATCACTTGGCCCTTGACCTGCCAAGGTTGTCCAGGACAGTGGATTTGGCCTAGGACAGCCTTGCCTTGCTGCTTATTTATTAACTGTGTGACCCGAACTCCTCTAAAGCTCAGTTTCCTCATCTATAAGATGCAGATAATAAAAATCCCTTCCACATAGGGCTGCTGTAAAGATTAAACAGAATTAAGCATATGAAATGCTTAGCATAACCATTAGTAAAAGAAAAAATTTAGAGTTGTAACTTAAAAACAGAGAAAAATATTCCAATCCAAAGAAAGAGTTAGGACTTGAGACTTTTGAGGAAAGGAAGGAGATGCAGAAAAGAGATTAAGGTTTGGAAGGAAATCTCCCTCCAGAGACCCCTCAGGGAGCAAAAGACCTGCATCCATCCAGGCCTAATGTGTCCTTTCTTCCTTGCCTCACACAGAGAAGGGCATGGCCCCCGCCCTCCGTCACCTGTACAAGGAGCTTGTGGGACCATGCAACAAGGATGAGATCAGCACCACTGATGCCATCTTTGTCCAGCGGGATCTGAAGCTGGTCCAGGGCTTCATGCCCCACTTCTTCAGCCTGTTCCGAAGCACTGTCAAGCAAGTGGACTTTTCAGAGGTGGAAAGAGCCAGATTCATCATCAATGACTGGGTGAAGAGACACACAAAAGGTGAGCAGGCAGGGAGTCCCAAGGGCCTGTGGAGAAAGGGAGTCTGGAAACAAATCCCTGTATCACATCCCCCCCCCCCCCTTCAGCATTCTCTCCTCTGTGGACAGATGACCAAGTGCTTTAAGAACCAAAGCATAACAGCTAATATTTTTTGTAGTTAGGCTTTCTCATGAATCCACTCTAAGGGCACCCCTAAAAAGTGTTATGAGATTTAATAAGAACAGAAATAACCATGACAAGGGCCGGCCCATGGCTCACTCGGGAGAGTGTGGTGCTGATAACACCAAGGCCCCGGGTTCGGATCCCACATAGGGATGGCCAGTCAGCTCACTGGCTGAGCGTGGTGCTGACAACCCCAAGTCAAGGGTTAAGATCCCCTTACCGGTCATCTTTATAAAAAAAAAAAAAAAAGAAATAACCATGACAAGGAACACACACAAGCCTTCAAGACTGCAGGTTAGGAGGCTAAGTAAAGTGTGAAGTAAAGGAAGATTTAAGTTCCCAGCTCTGATCCTGGACAGGCTCCCAGGATCAAGAAAGTGTGGTGAGCTGCAAGACTTTCTGAGATAGTTGGGAAGTGAGAACAGGTTGAAAATAGCTAGATTGATTCAAGACCTGTCTGCCCTCTGACTGGATCCCTTCAACATAAATCCATTTGAGGACTGGGAGCTGAAGAGAACCATCTAAGAGGATTAAAAAATATCTAACCTTCTGACCACCTGGCTTTCCCATAGGTATGATCAGTGACTTACTTGGGGAAGGGGCCGTGGACCAGCTGACGCGCCTGGTGCTGGTGAATGCCTTCTACTTCAATGGCCAGTGGAAGATGCCCTTCCCAGACTCAGGAACCCACCGCCGCCTCTTCCACAAGTGCGATGGCAGCACCGTCTCTGTGCCCATGATGAGTCAGACCAACAAGTTCAACTACGGTAAGTACAACACCTCCCTTCCCCACATCCCACAACTACTGCCTCTCGTCCCTGGGGTCTCCTGAGCGACATCCAAAACATCGCCCTCTGAGGGAGAAAGACCACAGGGAATGTTCCTTTCTATGGGAGGAGAAGCCCTAGAATACACCTCAGCTTTGACAAAGACTTCCCAAATGTGAGCCACCAAGATAATGGGAGCAGAAAAAAGGAGCTTGGTCTCATGCAAGATAAAGCTGATATCCAGAAATCCCCTCAGGCCCACCTCTGACCACTTGACTCCTGTCTCTCATCTTTGTGTGTTTCTAGTGTGATTATCTGGGGCCAACATGTCCTGCTGGGGACAGACTATGTGGAGGTTGAGATTAAGGAGATGAGGACTGGAATGAATTAGTTGCTGGGTGTAGGGGAGAGAGGGATGAAGGTAAAGAAGGCCAAAAGGACACGGAGAAACTAGAAGACACTGAATTGGCAGAAGGTAAGGGAAATGGAAACTAAAATACTGAATAGTGGGCAGAGGAATCTCGAAAGCCAGGATGGAGAACTCGGTTTCCAGAGAGTGGAGAGGACAGGAGAACTAGCTGAAAACCCAGTTCAGCGAGTTAGAATGAACAAGAGCAGGAGCCATTTCCAACGTGCCATCTTGGTATCTTCATAGCTGAGTTTACCACCCCTGATGGCCATTACTACGACATCCTGGAACTGCCCTACCACGGGGACACCCTCAGCATGTTCATCGCTGCCCCCTATGAGAAAGAGGTGCCACTCTCTGCCCTCACCAGTGTCCTGGATGCCCAGCTCATCAGCCAGTGGAAAGGCAATATGACCAGACTGCCCCGCCTCCTGGTTCTGCCCAAGTAAGCCACCCCTTGCTCTTGCCACACTTGCAATGCCCTGATCCCCCTGTCTCCCCCCTCCCTTCTCTCCTGGCTCCCTGAAATCACCACCTCCCTGTTGAGTTTCCCAGATCCAGATGCTTGCAGGGCAGAGATGTGTGTGGGAGGCTGATGGGAAACACTCTGGCCTGGGTTTGATTAAGGTTCCTCGCATCCTCCCCCCCCCCCCTTCATCTCGAGGTGCATCCCAGCACTGACCATCCTTCCCTGGCTCAGAGGTGCTGCGGACTGGCAGATCAAATGCCCACCCAGTGCTGAGACTCCCTTCTCCCCCCAAGCCTGGGCATTTCCCTCCCCAGAAACAGTGTGCATATACTATTTTGGAGTGTAGGTGACTTGTTTACTCACAGAAGCAGGTTTTTGCTTCCACAAACTTTGTTTTTCAGGAGGGCAGGAGAGAGCTTTTCTAGACTATGCTCCCACATTGACCACCTCCAGAAAACCCAGTAAAAAACAGCCAGAAGGAGAGACATAGAAATGATGGGGGGAGGGCATAATCTGTCTATGCCCATTTACGAATGCCCTGCACTCCCACCTCTAACTCCTCAAGTCAACATCTGAACAATAGAACAAAAGAAATCACTTTCACACATGGAGCAGCTCGAACTACAGCTTCTAGCTGGGATTCCAACAAAGCAGAATTTTAAGATCCTTCTGCAGAAGCAAAGGGGGTGGAGAAGGCTGAGGCTGGGTAATTGTTGAATTACAGGGAAGCCTCCCACCATGCTTACCCCAAATTTCCAGATGCCATAATACCAGGCTTGGAGGAAGGGGAGAATTTAGTTGGTTAGCTAGTTTTTTTCCTCTCTCTCTCACATAAAAATCAAAGTAGTTAGTCGTACCCTGGTGGGAAGCAGAGAGTGCCATAAAGTCTTGCTGCTTGAGTCCTTGTCAGGGTTAGCTCTCAGAAACACTCTACAGACCAGATTTTTGTTCCAACATCCTTGCAAAAGAATTCACCCTTTGCCTCCCAGCCAGACTGAACAAAATTAGGATGAAACTACTGTCTTATTTGAAGAAAGTAATTCGTCATAGGTTTGAGGAGGTGAGGAGATTGCAGGAGAATGTTTATTAATATTAGAAACTTCCAGTAAGGAGAGAGACTTTGCAAACAGATTTGAAAAAACAGGCTTCCCTCTTCAACTTTCACATCAGTTCCTATCCTGTCGGTCATCCCTGCTGTCCAGGGGGGACACCTGGAAGGGGGCTGGGAGAGGCAGTGACAGGGGCCAAGCTTGAACTGTCTCCTGCTGCTGTCTGCAGGTTCTCCCTGGAGAGTGAAGCTGACCTCAGGAGGCCCCTGGAGAACTTGGGGATGACTGACATGTTTAGGCCAGACCAGGCAGACTTCTCGAGTCTTTCAGGTGAGAGATTTTCCCTCTTGTTTTCTTATCCCGGTGGACAGTGGGGCCCCTAAGAGGACAAAGGAGTCTTTCCCTGAGAGTGTCGGCTGACCTACCCTTGTGTCCACCTCTGTTTCAGACCAAGAGCTTCTCTATGTGTCGCAGGCACTGCAAAAAGTAAAGATTGAGGTGAACGAGAGCGGTACAGTGGCCTCCTCCTCCACAGGTGAGTCTGGTGCAGGGGAGGCACCGCAAGCCTCAGCCCCAGGCTTCCAGGAGGGGCCTCTGCCTGGCGCCTCCATCACCCTTCAGGATAACTAGTCCCCAAACCTGGAATGGACCCCGCTGCCCTGATGGCTTCTCAGAACAGCTCTTCCTGTGCAGAGAACAAAAGCCCCACCATCTTCCTTTACCCCTGTTTCTCAGCCCCATAAAATGGGCCTGCTTTCCCTGCGACTCCATTCCCTCACCTGGTGGCTCCTGAGGTCCTGAATGTGAAAAGGCCTCCCAAAGGAAGACCCGAGTTGTTTCCCATAGTGGGTAGTAAGCTTAAGGAACTTGATTATCAATAAGCCCCAAAAGGGTTGAGATAAGTGTGTTTGTGAGTGCATAGCTGATAGATCTCTTCCAAACTCCTGCAGGAAACCAGGTCTTAGAGGATGCCCCTAAACTTTTAAGGTTCATGTTCAGGAGAACAAACGTCTCCTAAAAAGCACTTTCCAATGTTGCCATCAGATAGAAGGCTGCTGTCAACGGATCACTTGTGATCGGTGCAGACACCACTGCTCATGTCCCTCCGTTCTGAGACATTGTCCCTTCTCTTCCAGCCATCCTAGTCTCAGCCCGAATGGCCCCTGAGGAGATCATCATGGACAGACCCTTCCTCTTTGTGGTTCGGCACAACCCCACAGGTGAGCCCGGAAGCCCACAATGTCCCATTGTCCTCCCACCCATTCTCCTTGTCTCGGGCACAGTCTACACAGGTGTAGACAACCCTCAAGCCCCAAGAGGACTTTAGGCAAAGAATCCATAACTCTGCTCGGCTTCCTCTCCTCAGAGAAGGTGGTCATCTGCTGTAGACAGTGTGGTGCCAGGACCCCAGTCCTAGCTTAGTCACTTAAGCAGCTATGACTCCAGATAGCTCACTCATCTCGGATCTCAGTTCATCCAGACATATTGAGCTGTAACTTTCCTTCCAATTCTCAACTCACATGATTCTTCCATCCTCAGGAACAGTCCTTTTCATGGGCCAAGTGATGGAACCCTGACCATGGGCAGAGAAGCCCTCTTCTGGGACAAAACTGGAGATGCATTAAAAAGAAGAAGCTCTGATGAAGTGCACTTTTGCTTTAATGACTCTTTCTGGAGAAAGAGAAAACATTTGCCTTTTTCTGAAAAATGGTAAATTTTTCAAATCTGCCACCTAGACCTCAGCCTCTCCCAAGAGTGGGAGAGAGGACCTTGGCTCCAGACTCCCTAGTCAGAGCCCTTGGGAGAGAACTCTGATGCACAACTCCCAGGAGGTCTCCAACCCAGACTGTAAAACTTGCAGGATCATTTGCACAGCTGCTTCAGCCCATGTCTCTGCCCATTCAGATCTTCAGACCTGGTTGACACTGATGCCCTAGCAGCATGGAACCACAGACTTACAGGAGTGTTTGTATACTTGGTAGAAACAATTTATGTTCTGGTCACGTTGCCGTCACTCTTGCACTGTCTGCCACTGCTGAGGAGGCTGGCAACAGGCCAAAGAAGGCCAGTGGAAGAAACACCCTTTCATCTCGAGGTGCATCCCAGCACTGACCATCCTTCCCTGGCTCAGAGGTGCTGCGGACTGGCAGATCAAATGCCCACCCAGTGCTGAGACTCCCTTCTCCCCCCAAGCCTGGGCATTTCCCTCCCCAGAAACAGTGTGCATATACTATTTTGGAGTGTAGGTGACTTGTTTACTCACAGAAGCAGGTTTTTGCTTCCACAAACTTTGTTTTTCAGGAATAGAGGAAGAAAGGTCAGATGTGTGCCTGGCTCTGCCGCCAATCTCCTGGTGGAGAGGGTAGGAGCCAGAGGTGTCCTTGAATATTTATCGCATCGTTGCCCCTGTATGCTTGTTAGAGAGAAAAAGGACTATTAAGGAAAAAGAATTATTTAAGCTTTCTCACAATGTTTCTCTGTGGTCTGCGTCATTGCATCTCAGGAGTCTGACCAGTTGACCATCACATCCCTCTGGGTGCCAAGCATGATGGGGCCCGCACTGCCACCTGGTGGCTGCCTGAACCCCCTGCTCCTCTGGTTTTCTTGCCTTTCTACTGGATGGATTAGGGCCCCTGCCAAGATGATCCAACTGCAGCCCACTTTAGGAATCAAAGGATGGGGTGGGGGAGAGAGACTTGAGCGAGGACAAAGTGGTTTCAAATTTTTCCAGTATATTTAGGAGCAGAAATGCAAGGGGCTACATGACCTACCAGGACAGAACTTTCCCCAATTACAGGGTGACTCACAGCTGCATCAGTGACTCACTTCAATGTGTCATTTCCGGCTGCTGTGTATGAGCAGTGGACATGTGAGGGCGGGGGCACAATGAAAGAGACAGCGAGCTTGGACTCAACTACCTTAGTTAGATAATCTTTTTGAAAACCTACTAGCTAGGGGGTATGGCGTAAAGACTGATTTATTGAAGAATTGCACATAGATGTGAAATGAATGTAATCTAAAAGAAGTCTAGTCATTCTACCACGCTCTTCACTGAAAAATCCTCATTCTTTGATTTTTTTTTTTCTTTTTCCATGATGCATTGGATGATGACAGCCAAACACAGCACCTACTTGGGGTTCCCAAACGTGGGGTCTCAAATATTCTTGAGATGGTGTTGAGTTATATGTCTTTTCACTTTTGATATATACACAAGTAAAAATGTTTCAAAAAATAATAAAATAAATAAATACAAAGAATATGCCAAAACAGTCTCTGCCTTTACTTTCTACATTTCACGCAGTACAAGAAATCAAAATCCTGTTGGCTTGTAGACCTCTCAGGTCAAAGAGATCTTTGTGAAACATACACCTACAGGCACAGGCATGTTGACCTGCCATGGGGGAGTCCATGAGACCAGTCATCAGGACCCTGCAACAAAGCCCCAAGGACATGTTGGGGGGGGCTTGATTCTCCCCCTGCACATCATCCTCAAAAAGGAAAGAGGGTTCCCCCAAACACCTTGCACCCACCCTAACGTGCCTGCTCACGGCCACTGTCCCTCTGGGCTCTCAACTCTGTTCATGCCATTGCCTTCCACCACCTAATGTCCCCCAACCACCTAACCCCACCCCCATTTCTCCAAGCCCAGATCAAGTTCCATTGCCTCCACCTGGGCTTTACCCATGAATCCTGCCAACATTATCACTCTCAACTTGACACTTGCTGGTTTTTCTTTTCCCTGGTTTGTAAGTGTTTGTATTCACGTGTGCTCTTTAACTCTGTGTGTGCGTCTTACCCTCCCTGACTCCACCTTCATATCAGGATCCTTGACAAGACTCTTTTGTTATATACATACTCTTAATATCCTCCTTAAAATGGCTTCCTGAAAAGTCTTTTATTCTCCTCCTCCAGTATCTTGAAGACTCTTGGCAGCGGACACACTTCTCCCAATTTGTTTCTGTTCATATATTCAAAATTAAACTAAAAAAAATCAAAAACTATCTGTCAAAATGTGTGACGTCCAACTCCATAACCTTAAAAATAGAATTGGTAGACCCAACCCTCTGGATACCCAGCTCATTTCTTAATAGGAGCTAATTATCATCTAGGGGCTCTCGGTCAAAACACTGTACTGTAGTTAGGAGGTAGTGAGTTGTCTGCTACCGGAAGTGCTCAAGGACAGCCAGCATGAACACTTGGTACGGATGCTTCAGAGGTCAGAGCATAAGGCAAAGTGACTTTTTTAAATTATAAAAACATGCTCATAGTAAACATTCATTCACACACTTCCAACAAGGTAAAAGTGGAAACTTAATAGGTCCCCAGTTTCTTGGGTGTTCTTTCAGAACTTTGCTAAGTATTTATAAGCATATTTAAAATATTCTTTTCTCTCACACAAATAAAATCATTGTAAATATGGGCCGGCCCGTGGCTCACTCGGGAGAGTGCGGTGCTGATAGCACCAAGGCCACGGGTTCGGATCCCAGATAGGGATGGCCGGTTCGCTCACTGGCTGAGCGTGGTGCTGACAACACCAAGTCAAGGGTTAAGATCCCCTTACTGGTCATCTTTTAAAAAAAAAAAAATCATTGTAAATATAAATATATAAACAGTCATGTGCCATATAATGTCATCTTGGTTAACACTGGACCACATATACAACGGTAGTACCATAAGATTATAATGGCTGTACCACATAGCCTAGGTGTGTAGTAGGCTATACCATTTAGGTTTGTGTAAGCATACTCTATGATGTTTGCACAATGATGAAATTGTTTAATGACACATTTCTCAGAACGTATCCCTGTCGTTAAGTGACACATAACTATATATAGTGTTCTACAGCTTGCTTTGTTTGCCTAATGATACATTCTAGACACCTTTCCCTAATCTTTTTTTACCAGCTGCATATATAAATGTACCATATAATTCCTTAACAGTTATGATGGATACTTTGCTTGTTTCATAGTTTTTGTAACGGGTGGTGGTGTTACCAACAATGCTGGTAACATTGAGGTAAGACATTCTTACACATTATCCCGGGGCTCAATTGCTCCTGTATCCATAGGATAACTTTCTAACAATGGGACTAAGTGTCTCTTTTAAGAATCTTCCATTAATTAAAGCATGGCCTTGTAACACTAAGGTCAAAGGTTCAGATATCAGTACCAGCCAGCTGTCAAAAACAAAAACAAGAAACTAAAGATCCTGAAATTGTGTGACTCTGGTAATACAAACACTTTCAAATGGCACAAGACAATTGCAAGTGACCACTTTGCCTGGTTAGAATCTTACCTTTTCTCAAGCTTAAATAAGACTTTACGACTTTCCTACATAAGCCCACTGCCATAAATAAAGGCAGGTTTTAGACTTTAAACTAAAAAAAACTTCACATTATCTTCTCTGAAATGATGTTAGACTTCCTCAGATCAAATTCTGATTATAATGCTTTTGAGAGTAAATCCAGAATGGGCATTCATTCATTTACTCCCTCCTTAATCATTCCACACGGACTAACGGCCTTCTCTCTGCCCCTCCCTTTCCTGTTTCCCTCTCAAGGATCAACTCAGGGGCAATCTTGGGTGCCTTCAAAGTGAGATGCCAAGATGTTCAAAAGTGATACAGTTGTTGGGTATCCCCTCCTCATGGATTCCTCTCTTTCTATTCAAGCTTTCTCTTCTCCCGTGAAACTGATGTAGTAAGAGGGGCTTCAAAGTCCAATCGAGCTTGGAAGAGAGGGTCTTCTTCTCTTCTTAGAAAGCCATAGGTTCTCAAGTTAGTGCTACACTGGGATTCGTGGCCAAAACTTCAGCTGGTACTAAAAGATTCCTCTTCCTGCCTTACCCTCTTATACAGGTCCCCCTTTGGGCTCATAGCGGGTAGTCGGGGTCATGAATGCAACAATCTAAGAATTCAGGGATACTGGGACCCAGGTATGTCTCTCAAACTCCTTATATCCTGAGAATATGACCAATTCCAGGCCCTGGGCTAGTGGCTAAAGAGTTACCCATCTGTAACAGATTTGCTTAGAAACCTAAAGAGCCTCTTTGCCACAATATGCTTCAAAAGGCAGAACAAGTTTGCCTGAATTCTGCAGCATACAGTTGAAAAACTGTCTGTACATGCTGAGAACACTCAAGAGAACAGAGTTCTTCAAGATGCCCCCTCACCACAGAGAAAGTTTCCTCTAGGAAATGCCCCATTTAACAGTGCTCTCAGCTTTTCTTAGATACTGTGAGGCCAAAATGATGATGCTGCTTCATGGTGCGAGGCCTGCCCAGCCCTGTTTGACTTTGCCTGCGTCCCCTTGCTTGGACATTCCAAGTTTTTCTTCCTTTCTCTACTTCTTTAGGGATGAAAAACTAACAAGATCCGACTCCAGCCACCATCACTGCAGATCTCTTGTAAACCTCACAAAGTGAAATTATCTGCCTGTGCGTGGGCAATGAGCATGAATATTGTAAATCCCTCGACAGTAAAAATATTCTATCGGAATGAAATTTGTCAAGGAGACACCATCTGTTTTCCAAACCTTTTTTAGGTGGTTCCTCAAGTAAGTTTTGTTGCAATAATAGTAGCAAATGCTTATGTAGAGATGAGGAAACTAAGACACAGAGAAGCTGAATAACTCGCTACTATTATTATTATTATTACTTAAAAGCCTCAGGCAGTCAGGCTCCTCTGGGCCTCTTGCCATGATACTGTATTGCCTCTCTCTGTGGCATTTGTGAACAGGAACAAGTCTCCCTGAACACTGGGAAGGGCTCAGCACAACAGTGCTGCCCTCACGTGTCAGTCACCAGCACCTCCTGCATTTCCACAGGCCACCTTAACAGCCTCAACACCCGCGTTCTGAACAGAGTCTTTTATCCCCAGCCACCAGATGTCGCTTTGACTCCAGTGGACAAGGCTTCTCTAAAGCAAAGCAGCTGTGGCTTCAAAACCTTGCCAAGTTTGAACTCCATTCCATTTAACAAGTATTTATTTAAAAGCCGAACTATGTGCTGGGAACTATGAAGCATTAAAAAAAAAGTGTAAGTGACACTTCTTAATATCAGGTACCTAAAGAGAATGGACACCGAAAAGCTGAAAAGCTATGCAAGTCACTGCAAAAATGATGGAAAGGAACATTATAGAAATGACCTTTATAGTCTAGAGCATAAAAGCTCATCGAAGGAGTGGCTGTTTGATTGAAAGCTGGAAAAATAAATATGATGGATTTGGGTCTGTAGGAAGGGAATGGTAGGGCATTACAGAAAACAGCATGAACAAAATCACAAAGGAAAAATTATAGCAAGACAGGTTCAAGGCACGCAAGTGAGGATAAAGTCCCAAGTCACCAAGTTGGTTTCAGACTCCTCCCTCCCTCTTCTGATAACCTGGCCAGGCAGTCGTCTCTTCCTCTCTTCCATACACTCTCTCCTAGTCTGGTCAGACAAGTCTTACCTATGTCCCTTCAATAAGCCACGCCTTCATTTTACTCTTTATGTCCCCGGCTTATAGCGAGCAAGTCTAGGAAAAGGCAATGATATCGATCACAATGGGAAACTAAGAGATGGGATGGTTTCGGGGGAGGGCGGAAAGAAGTGGTAACTCATTTTTGGAAAGTGAAGTTTGAGATGACAATGGAATTTTTAAACAGGGGATCCAGTATACAGTTATTCAACAAAATCAGGTGCTTGCTGCATGTCAGGCACTGAGCTAGGCACAGCTGAAACAGCAAAAGAAGTCAGTCTGTCATCTAGCAAGAATAATAAATGTAAAATACGTAATATTAAATACAAAATTAGAATTTAGCATATTTTGGATGAGAACTAAAATTTAAATATCTAGATTTGATAACCATCTATATGGATCATAATGGAATCTAATCAACAAGCACTGTGCTAGGTGCTGCGAAGAAATGAAAGATGTATACGACACCACTGCACAAGGAGCTTACAATACCTCTGCAGAGACGAGGTCAAATCACATATGCAGTCAATGGACAACATGGCATGATGACAAAGTTTACCTGGCAGAGTTCTTCATTCCAAGCAACAGAAACCAACTCTGGCTAATGGAAGCACAAAAGGAAATTGCGAGCTCAGGGAATTGCCAGGACAGCTAGAGAAGCAGGTTGGAGGGAGGTCTCACATGAGGAATGATGTCCTAAATCACAACTGTGCCCCAACCCACTCCCTCACTGGACACAAGACACTGCCACTGGCGTCATTCTACTGCTACCCGAGGAACCCCAACCTCTGATCCTCTGCCA